GGTTTTTAGGAAAGTCCCACCTGACCTGTTCCCTGTAGAGCTGGCAGATCTGCCTTTCTTTCTGCGTTCCAGGCGAGGAATTAGATTGGTGGGATATAATAGCCTCACATACCTCACACCTTAATCTTTGGAGCATGGAGCATGCTGTAGTTGGGTAACATCTCCTATGAGAAAGCTCAAACTCAGAAACACAGAAACCCACTGGCCCTCCTGGGAGTATGGCTTCGCAGTTCTCTGGATTGAAGCTGCTTTTCTAATGCTGTTTGCAGAACTAACCCCAGCCTGAAGGGTTAATCTGATTCCCCAAGTCAATATCCCCCAAACAACCAGGCAAGAGTGTGTGTTGGTTCATTTCTGTGAAATGTGTTTCCCCAGTCACCTGGGCTGGCCTGGGCTGCATTGTATCGGCCAGCAGCTGCACTGCACTCAAACTGACAGCTACATTAAACCTTGGAATTCTGAGGCAATAAAAAGTAAATTAACTCTTATTTTTTTCCTTTCCTGGTGGAGTCAGTGAATGCATGTCTGTAGGGAAGGGAGAGAGCCTGGGTTCTGAGTGCATACCTCTCACTCCTCACTGCCGGTCTGTCCTGAGCTAGGATCTGGTGTTGAGACTCCAGCCAGGGGTCTGCTCTCCTGGTGTGTGGTGTGTTCTATGGAGTTGGGCCAGTGGGTCGCCCTGCAACTGCTGATCCCTACTCACTAATCACATCACAGCTGTTGAGAGACTCCCTTGCCACCTTTCTGGGAGCCATAAACGGGCTCATTGGACAGTTTCATATTCTCTGGCTGCTTTGTGTCCGCTTGGTGAAGGCTTCACCCTAACTTTAATGGGATTTCTTGGGCTGTAGGAGTTTCCTCCAAGTACAAGTTGAACTGGAACAAGCTGGAGGACTTGCATGAGCCCACAGCACTCTGGAGGATCCATTTAGAATCAGAGCTTTTTGAGGTCAGAAAATCCTTTTAGGAAGTCCTGTCCAAAGCTCATCCACAAGACTGGGAGTTGTTTAAAGCTCCTTGTAGCCATCCATGTTTGACTTTGGACTCTGGCCCAAGCCAATCTTGAGTCCTTCAGGGTCCAAGGGCTGCTAAGAGGTGAAGGTTAGGGGGTGTTCCTCATTGGGATAAGGAACTAAAGCAGGAAAAAGCTAAGCTTTTCTCCTTCCACTCAGACAGGAAAGACTGTATTCACCCATGGGACCAACCTCCCAGCCGGGGCCTGATGAGAGTGAGCTACAGTGCTGATGCCTGGTCCAGGAATCTACTACCCCTTCCTTCTTCATCATCGTTTTTGTCTTTTTCTTTTTTTTCTTAAGGTTTATTTTATATTTATTTTAAAGGCAGAGTTATAGAAAGAGAAGAAACAGACAGAGTGGTCTTCCACTCTCTGCTGGTTCACTCCCCAGATGGCCTCAGTGGCTGGAACTGGGCCTTTCCAAAGTTGGGAGCTTCTTCCAAGTTTCCCATGTACGTGCAAGGGCACAATGACTTCGACCCTCCTCCTCTGCCTTCCCAGAGCATTAGAATAGAGCTGAATCAGAAATGAAGCCACTGGGACTTAAACTGGCACCCATATGGGATGCTGGTGCCACAGGCAGAGGCTCAGCCTGCTACAGTGCTGGCCTGTCACCTCTCAGAAATATTTTGACTTTTCGGTTCAAAAGCATCACCTAATTTTTGCAAAGCACTTCTTTCTTTTAGTGTTAGTTTCTCGACACGCCCCACTGCCCTGTAGGGCTGTGCGTGTTCTGTGGATATTCACATAGTCGTATTCTTGTCTGTGGTATTCAGTGAGAGGAGATAATGGTGATGGGAAATATGAACAAGCTTGGGTGATCCCTCTGGGACCCAAGAAGAAAACACCTGCTCAGAATCAAGAGTTCAAATATGTGATCACTTTGAACTGACCGGGGCAGAAATGGTCTTTCATCAAAGCATTTTGTGTATTCCCTTCATTCTGCTGTCTAGCTTGGCCCTTGGACCACTTTTATTTATATTTCTGAATTAGGGACTCAGGGCACTTCCTATGTCTTTTGGCATCAGCTCCTGGCTTACAAATCAGTTTTGAAGTAGGAACTCTGATCCACCTTATTTTTGCAGTGAGTCTTAAGGTTTTGGTACAAGGTGGGTGGCAATGGGCAATAGGCAGATGTGGGCAGGGGTCCCTAGTGGTGGCCAGCAATTTCTGGGAGGAGTCAGTTTTGGTTTATCTGAGCCCTAGGGGACAGGAGAGCTTGGTAATGAGAACCACATGGTACCACATATTTCTTCTTCTTGGATCCAAAATGGTAGGGGTGGGAGGATGAGAGAGAGATGTGGGGCCTCCCACTGTGCCAGCCATGGGTAATTTTCTGCTGCTTCTCTGACCAGGGATGCTGCTATCTCACCCCACCCAGACACTGTACCCTTCCATCCTCCTCCCCCCAGCACCCTCCCACCAGTCTATGTCCTCTAGCAGCCTTGACCTGCGCTGCACCAACCAGGGCCCTCAAGCCAAGAATTCAGCTGGGAGACTTTTCACCTTCTTCCTTCTCACTGTCGTCTTTCCTGTTTATTTTCCAAATTGCTGCTCTGCAACCGAGCAATGCCTGTTGGCCAGAGCTCACCAGCGCTGTGGGATCAGACTCAGGCAATGGGCTCAAGTGGCCAGCAGGGCACTGGGGGAGGAAGTGGAGAACTGGAAGAGCCTCCCTGTGCGTCTCCCATGGGCAGCGCTAACCTCGGAGGCGGCCCTGAGCAGCCCTATCACATCCGGTGCTTGTCTCTGCAGCCGGGACCGGAGGATAAACTATCAGAGCTGTGGGGCAGTGCATCATTCCTCTTATTATTTTCTTCTCTACAGATGGGGTCGTGGAAAGTTCAGTTCCTTTTAACCCTCGAAGTTCTGTTTATTCTACAGCTGGTAGCCTGAATGCCGTGTTTCCCATTACATCACAAAGGGGCTCAGGCAAATCTCTGCACAGAAACGTGTTGCAACTGTTTATTTTTTTCCATATTTAAACATTTCTGACAGCCAAACTTGGCTGAGCCAAAAGATGGAGCTTTGTGAATGGGTCTGGTTGTCGGTGTCTGTGCAGAGAGCAGCTTTGGAAAACTCGTGTCCCCCCACTGTGATCCTTCCCAAACGTGTTCTTTCTCCCGGGCGAATCCTGGGAAGCAGGTTCCTCCTGCGGTACACGTGTGTTGATTATGTGCTGCTGTGTGATTAATGGAGCTGTGTTCCGCCTGGTTCCCAGGACGCTCTTGAAATCAAGATGTTTCATTTCATTGCCTTTTCTTAGTGCAGTGATTACAGTAAATAAACCAGGGCAGCCTCTTTCCACCTGGAACCAGTCAGAGTTCCCATACCTCTAGCTCACTTTCTCCAGTGGCTTGTCCCTGGAATGCCACCTTTTGCCAGTCATTAGGAGAAGCTGGTTGGTTAGATCTGAGGTCCCTTCCTATCAGGTGGGACTCCTGTGCAAGAATCTCCCCTGTGGGGCGTTCTAGAATGACTCTTAAGGTTCTCTTTGCTCACTGCCTCTTGCCATACTACCTCTAGAACCTAATTGTGAAGCTTTGTAATTCTCCTATACCTCTCATTCCTTTAGGACTGATAAAACAAGTACTACCTATTTGAAAGTCCTAGGTTAGGTGTTTCTCTCAATAAGAAGAGCCAAATGTGTAATCTCATCACCCCCGTATCTGACCGCGATTGGAGAGGTACCTGGGGCAAGCAAAGCAGCAACAGCAAAAATAAATAAAATGCCTGATGAATTTATAGCATCTAGCAACACAGGAATCTCAGCCACAGCAAATGATGACCTCTACTGACAAGTGACGGTGACAGAGAAATGAACCCTCTTTTTATAATGGAATTTCACCTAGGGAGAGCCAAATTTTGTGGGTTCTCAGGTTTAGCCTGAACCTGTGATACACAGTTAGAATGACCAACTAGCCTGATTTTCCCAGAGCTGAGAGGTTTCTGGGGAAATGGGACTTTCAGCTCAACTGGGCCAATGTGGGTGACCAGACACTTGGCCACCCAGTGTCCTTCCAAATGAGAGAAGACAGAGAGCCCGGGAGGACTGAGACAGCACTGCCGGTGCCGCCTTTGCCGGAGCGCAGGGGAGACTTCACCTTCTGGGAGGATCTTGGCAGGCAGGAAGGAGGTTTTTGTTGGATCAGTGTTTGACAGTTTGTTTGTTTTCCTGCTTACACATACGTAGTTCTGAAGCATGGTAGGGGAAAGCCCCACATGACTCTGCACAGTGAGCTAGACTGTCCGTGACTGGCTGGAGGAGAGCAGCTGATGCCCCGCTGCTGTCTGTGTGGCATATCCTTGGCAGTTCTGAGAGCTGCCGCCGGGCACTGGGTGTCTAGAGTGTTTCAGTAAGTATCTCAGGCACACTGTCTGGAAAAATGACAGGACCCGCATTAGGCAACTGGTTCTCTAAATTCCTTCTCCTCTGGTTAGGATTAAAAATTCCCCCTTCTCAGCCAGTGTTGTGGTGTAGCAGGTAAAGACCTGCTACAATGCCAGCAGACCATCTAAGCACCAGTTCAAGTCCTGAATGTTCCACTTCTGATCCAGCCTTCTTCTAACGCACCTGGGAAAGCAGCTGAAGATGGCACAGAGTCTTGGGTCCCTGTACCCACATCTTAGAGCTGAAAGAAATCCCTGGCTTCAGTCTGGCACAACCCTGGCAGACTGAGGTCTCTTGTGGAGGGAGCCGGTGGATGGACTCTGTCTGTATGTCTGTCTCTGTCTCTATCTCTCTCTCTCTTTAACTCTGCTTTTTCAATAAAATAAGTTTAAACTTTGCATGGATGAACACAAACTGCCCCAGATGACTGCCCTGGGTGCAGTTTAGCATCTTGGCATTTTGGTCCAATTTCCTGGCAGTTGCCAGCCTAGAGCAGCCTTTGCTGCCAGAACCTTCATGCTCATAAGGGCTGGGAACACTTACTGGTCCCACTTGCAAGACGCACTTCTTGTCTTACCTTATTCCTCCTCGTAGGCTTGCTGTGGATGTGTGGTCGACGCTGGCTGATTTCTGTAACATACTGACCGCGGTGAACCAGTCCGAGGTGCCCCTGTACAAGGACCCGGACGATGACCTCAGCCTGCTCATCCTGGAAGAGGATCGGCTCCTCTCGGGCTTTGTCCCCCTGCTGGCTGCCCCACAGGACCCCTGCTATGTGGAGCAAACCTCGGATAAGGTCAGTCCCAGGCCAAACATCCCTCTCCATTCACCCCTCCTCTTAATTCTCTAGACTTTTTTTTATTCTTGGGAAGTTTTCTGTGCAAACGGAACATGATTAAGTCATTGAGAAGGGTGTTAAGGGAAAATATCGACCTTTTAGCCGCTGACATCCAGCTCTGTGTCCTGAAAAAAAAAAAAAGCCCTCTCGACTTCCTTTGGTGTGTGTGTGTACTCGCTGGCATGTTGTATATACGATCATTTCCTCACTTGTTTAAATAGTGCAGCTTGTGTTGGCAGGGCTCTCACTTAGCTCCAAATGGTTTGCATCATGCTTAAAGCACCCTTCTTCCTCCCCCCTTCCTCCTTCCCCCCAGCCACAAAACTCTGCACTAGGAAAACAGCCAGGGCTTTTTCCCTTCTCTAAGGAGGAGAGTGATAAATAGGTGACTAGAGAGAAGCAGACACCATGTGTTAACTTACAAAAAAAGCTTTTAGGAATATGAAGCATTCCCCGCTGCCTGGTTTCTATTTTCTTTCCTCTAAGGATTGTGTTTTAAACTTTTTTTTTTCTTTCTTGTCTGTCTGTTTATAGAAAACAAAGTATTGCACTGGTGGGGACCATGGAACTCCTAGTCTCTGCCTAACAATTGAGTCTATAGCCAGGTGGAGGGCAGGGATGTCCCGCAGCTGCTCTGGGCAGGGGCGGCAGGTTTCTGTGCCCAGGCAGGGGTGCCCTGAAGGCTTGTGTGCAGAATTCTTATCATTGCACATCCTGGGGAGGGAGGCCTTTGGTGAGGAGCATACAAATGGCTGTTCGGGGGAAGCCTTTTCACCTAGTGACATTGATGGCTGCTAGAAGAAGAAAAAGATGAAAACTAATTCTTAGCATGAATTGCAAATAATGCAAATATGAGTCATGTTATATTTAATATAAAAGTTTTAAAAACTTATTTAAAATCCAAAAGACCATTTGTTCATTATAGAAAATTTGGAGATCATATGCAAGTCAAAGAAATACTTTGTCCTTAGTCCCTCACCTACAGGTAAGATCACTGGTATTTTGTTAATGTTTAAGTTCTTCTGCTACACACACACACACACACACACACGTATTCTCTTCAAAAACAAAATGAAGGCCACATTATACATAGTTTTTTGTTGCTTAATATTTTTAATGCATTTTTTTTAAGATTTATTTATTTTTATTGGAAAGCCAGATACACAAAGAAGAAGAAAGACAGAGAGGAAGATCTTGCACCTGATGATTCACTCCCCAAGGGGCCACAACGGCTGGAGTTGTGCCCATCCGAAGCCAGGATCCAGGAGCTTCTTCTGGGTCTCCCATGTGGGTTCAGGGTCCAAAGACTTTGGGCCGTCCTCGACTGCTTTTCCAGGACACAAGCAGGGAGCTGGATGGGAAGGGGGCCTCTGGGATTAGAACTGATGCTCATATGGGATCCCGGTGTATTCAAGATGAGGTCTTTAACCACTTTGGCTACTGCACTGGACTCCTATGCATTCTTATATGTAACCTTTATTATTACTGTTTGAGAGACAGAGAAACTTGACTAAGAGCTTTCATCTGCTGGTTCATTCCCCAAACACCTGCAATGGCATGGGCCAATGCCAGAAGCTGGGAACTCAGTCCAGGCCTCCCAGGGACCCAAGGGTGTGAGCCATCTCCTTCAGCCTCCCAGGAAGCTGCAACCTGGAATGGTTGTCCCACCGAGCATCTTAACTGCTAGGCCATATGCCTGCCTTGGGATTATTTTACATGATTGTATAGTCCTTTTATCAGTCTTTATTTTATTTATTTTTTATCATGTATTCTATTTGTTTATGTTTTGAAGATTTATTTTTATTGGAAGGTGTAATTACAAAGAGAGGAGAGACAGAGAGCATCTATTAGTTCACTCCCCAATGGCCAGAGTTGGCAGTCTGAAGCCAGGAGCTTCTTGGTCTCCCACGTGGGTGCAGGGGTCCAGGGACTCAGGCCAGCTCTGCTGCTTTCCCAGGCCATAAACTGGGAGCTAGATCGGAAGTGGAACAACCAGGACTTAAACTGGAGCCCATGTGGCATGCTGGTGTTGCAGGTGGAGGCTTAGCTTACCATTTGACAGCCCCTATTTGTCTTATTTTAAAGGCGAAGTTAGAGAAAGAGAGAGACAGTGAGAGCTCTCCCATCTGCAGGTTTACTTCTTTTTTTTTTTTTTTAATTAATAACATTGTATTATGTGACACAGTTTTATAGGTACTGGGATTCCCCCTACCCCTCCCAAAACCCTCCACGCATGGTGGATTCCTCCACTTTGTTGCGTAACCACAGTTCAAGTTCAGTTGAGATTCCTTCATTGCAAGTATATACCAAGCATGGAGTCCAGCATCTTATTGTCCAGACAAATTCAACGGCTTCTTGGGGAGACCTTCTCTGGTCTGAAGGTAGAGCCAACAGAGTAAAATCCCGATCAATTAAAAGCCCCAACATAACCTCAGCAACAATATACAATGTTATGAAATTAATTGACATAGTATTGAGTAAACAATATGTTAAAAATAATGCAAGTTCTTAACCACACCGTTTGACTACTCCATTGACATTTCAACAGTTTAGGTGCAAAACAGTTATAGGAGGGGTGTGCAGAGAAATCTTCAATATCTTGGTGAGGAGTACTTACTCTTTGTGTACTACCTAGTAAGGTATGTGTGAGTCCATGCTGACCAAGCTCTCCTTGTTCTTTGCCTATCTATTCTAATTTGTGTCTGTGTGTTTGGGAGTGCAGGGGAGACTCTGGAGCGACCCCGACGGTCATTGCAGAGAGGGTGGAGATCCAAAGTTGGAACTAAGTAAGGACCAGAGAAAGCTCCTCTCCCTAGTCCCGAAGGAAGTTTATTGTTCTTCTGATTCCGAGGACTGCTGTGGGTTCCTGGCTGTTGTTCTGACGACCTTGGATCCTACGAGGAAGAATTCGGGCTTCTTTCATCCCATGTGGTAGATTCAAAGGGGGCGGATGCACTCTGAGTTCTCGGGCTCCGAAGGCATTCTAGTTCCCCATGGTCTCTTTGGTAGTTGGGATGTAGTCCTTGGTGCCCATACTGATAGTCCTTGGTGAGGATCCAGGGTTGGGATACAAGCCTCCTCCTGTCCCCCTGATCCACTCTGGGGTCTCGCCCTGCTCTGTGCATATGACCTCCTGTTAGTAGGTTGTTAGGATCGCTCTTGGTTCCCCCTGTATGTCTTTGTAGTTTAACTATTGTCTAATGATGTTTTGAATCTATTGTCAATAAGTTACCTGTTGTTTTCCTGATAGGTTACACTACACGTCTTCTTCACACATTTTAAGGAGATGGAAGATTTCTCTGCTCTCCCGCCCCGTTTCTGATTAGCACAGGGTTTTGAAAATATAGTAGGTTTTACTTGTTAAATGGTCACAATGGCCAAGACTAAGCCAGGAGCTTCATCCACATCTCCCACATACGTGCAGGGCCTGGGCCCTCAGGTCATCATCTGCTACTTTCCCAGATGCATTAGCAGGGAGCTGAGTCAGAAGTAGAGCTGCTGGGATTCAAACCAGCACCCATGTGGGATGCTGGTATTGTAGGCAACAGCTTAACTTGCTACGTCACAGTCTTGGGTCCCAATTTTGCTATATTGAACCAAGAGAGTGTTCTCATTTTTTCAGTGCCATGAATAACACACTGATGCCCTATATCTGAATTAGAGCATATATTTCCTTTGATTAAATGTCTTTTAGTATATAAAAGTTCTAAGCATGGGTGTATGAAAAATCCATACTTTTGGATCCTTTTAATGACTAATAGATCTTAGGAGTGAGAGATCCTCTCTTTCCGAAGTGAATAACTCATTTTATATCTTTCCAACAAAAACTTGGAGAGAAATTCTACACTCTGGTCCCAGAAAGGGACGATAATGAGCACTTGTAGCATGCAAAGCTGAGGACAGTTAGCAAGTTGTTTACATTTTGGAAAGGTGTTCGGTTAGAGGAGGAAACTGGACATTCTTGGCTAAGAGCAGAGCATTCCAGTACTCTTGGTTCCGTGACCACCAGGTAACTGTTTTCAGAGAGTGCTTTGATGAATGGTCTGTAGAGTTAGTGGTCTTTCCAGTACAGAGTAAGAGAATAGTCCTGTCCAGCCCCATCTTCATTAGCTCATGGGCACTCCCAGCTTGAGTGTCAGATACCAGATGTATGATCTGGCTGGAGAACTGCACAGAGCCAGCAGTCCAGCCTGCGGCCTGTCGTGGTGACTCATGGGCTGCAGGAATCCTCCTCATTCACAGCAAGGTAGGCCTGCACACAAGGGCTGTGAGGCAGGTGTGTTGAATCCAGCATCTCCAAGTCCAGACTCCTAAGACCAGCAACCCTTTCTGATCCCTCAAGTCTGCTCTTCCTTCGTTCTTCCCCATCTTGCTGACTGACATCTTTAATTTGACATCACATTTCTTTTTTTTTTTTAAGATTTATTTATTTTTTATTACAAAGTCAGATATACAGAGGAGGAAAGACAGAGAAGATCTTCCATCTGATGATTCATTCCCCAAGTGACTACAACGACCAGTGCTGTGCCAGTCCGGAGCCAGGAGCTTTGTTCGGGTCTCCCACACGGGTGCAAGGTCCCAAAGCATTGGGCCATCCTGGACTACTTTCCCAGGCCACAAGCAGGGAGCTGGATGGAAAGTGGAGCAGCTGGGATTAGAACCTGCACCCATATGGGATCCCGGTTCATTCAAGGCGAGGACTTTAGCCACTAGGCCACTATACCGGGCCTTTGACATCACATTTCTTCATGTCAAAATTGTCAGGGTTTTTTTTTTTTTTTTAAGGACTTATTCATTTGAAAGAGCTGGAGAGGAAGAGAGATCTTCCATCCTTCAGTTCTCTCCCCACATTGCTGCAACAACCAAGGCTTAGTCAGGTTCAAGCCAGGTGGTTCCTCCGGGTCTCTCATGTGAATGGCCAGAGCCCAAATACTTAAGCATCTTTGCTGCTTTCCCAT